ATTTCCCCTACAAGGTCTTCGTGTCAAGGAGTGACTCCGTGGTTTCAAATGGGAGGAGTTCCTTTGGGTGCACAGGAGACGTAGGAAGTATGTGTGTTCCCTGATGTGATCTCAGCAATGATTCATTTTGCTCATATTTGACACATTTTATTTTATGCCAAGAAATGACAGGGTTTGGACCTAAGTATGGTGTATGGACTTACTCTGTGAGTTTAGGTACACCTAGTATAACTTTGGAAGGACACCCCTACCCTATTACCAGACAACATATACCAACTACTGTGGTAAGAAATCTCCTACAAATAAAAGAGAAACCATGTCTCAACATATTTGATCCTTCTAAAGATGACCAGTTGTTTAATAAGTTTCTCTGATTTTTGTATCAGAAAAAATATTTATATTTGTATACTTGACAAAGCCAAGGATTTTGATTATAAAAACAGGTCAAATACATTACAAAGCAGTCTGCAAATGCAGTGTTTCAAGAGAGTAAAATTTCCTGGCTTTTACCCAAATAAGTTCTCTCCTCAATTATTTATATTTGCAAGTTCACCATTGCAAAATCTGTCTTCAAGATGAAATAATATTCCTCCTAGACTTTCTGAAGGGGGAAAACAAGTGTTCAGTAATGAAGCCCTTAAGAATATTGCTTTTGGGGGGTTTTGCATGTATGCAAAAACATGCATTTAGGTAAAGCTGAAGCTGTCAGAAAATGTTACAAAATGCAGTAATGTAACATGTCCTGAAGCTACTAGGCTCAATCAAAGCTCAGAAAGGCACTTTTCTGATGTGATGTATTCCACGCACACTTATGCTAAAATGAAGCTGTCCTAGTCAGTCAGGGAGACAGCCTGCAGTAGTGAATGACTCCTCTATAGCAGTTTCCCCAGTTATGTCATTCAGTGTGATCCAGCTGATTGATATGATTTACGTATGAACCAGTTATTTCTAGACTTTGAAGTCTGCAAATTTCTCTGCTGCGATTATTGTAGAGCCAATTGCAGCGTGTTTGAAAAGACAAAAAAAGAAAAAAACCCGAAGTTGTACCCATGCAAAAATGTTACTTAGAAAAAACTCCTGAGCTGAGAAACACATCTCCTCAGGAAATGCAGGTTTTGAGGTTTTCAATACCTCTGAATGTAATTAATATCTACTTTTCGGCTGGTCTGCAGAAAAGTACTTAAGTGTGAGAGGCTTATTTTCTTTTAAGATGGAAATGGGAAATGGGTTTTCAAAATGCATTTCATAGCATTTTCCAGCAGCAAGAAGGTGGTTCAAAATCAACTTTGTGATAATCTTCAGATTTCAGGAGTTCATCGCTTTCTGAAATACTCACACTCTAAGTTGGATTCTTTTTATATTTTGGTTCTTACCAAGATATCAGAAACTTAGACCAAAATTTGACTATTTTTGCACAAGAGATGTCATCTTTTGTTGAGGGAAGAAAAAGATCTAACTGTATTCTTTGAAAACAAAGGTACAGAAAAAACAGCTGAAGCTGAGAACTGAAATTTGGCTGCTCACTGATGACTAGGTTCAGAAAAGCACTTAACTGCTGTAATACAGCATTTAACTTTTAGTCTTCAGACTTCTAAAGTAGCTGTGCAATTGGTAATATTTCTCTGAGCCACAGTTTGGATACCTAAAGTCACACCAGTACTGCTAAGTGACAAGTGAATATGGAGCAGGATTGAGAAGGGGACTCATCCCATGCCTCAGTCACAGCTTAATTGTTAGCCCTCTACACAGATGTGTTTTGGACCTCTCCACCTTTCTCCCCCTGCAACGCAATTTAGGCAGGATAGACATTGTCTCCAGAAACCTGCATGAACCTGTCCTGTTGTGGCCCCCTCCCTTCTGTCAACACTGAGCAGAGTATAGTCTAAGCCCTATGAAACCTCCTGTTTCACTTCAAAACACACAACATTATATTTAGCTTCCTCTTACTCCCACTGCCTGCACTACTGACTCCTATTATTCAGAACTCTTTGAGCTGAAAAATAACCACCCAAAATAATAATTGTGTATTTTAGTCACTCAGGCACTAAGTGGAACCCAGGGGAGGTGTAGTGCCAATACGATGTGGTAGTATGGGATGTGGCCAGCTTGGAGCAGAAGGTGTGAGCAGTAAGGGAAGTGAATGCAGGCCAGCAGGCACAGCAATTCATCTGTGCTTGTCTTTTATGTCACCAGTGCAGCACACTTTGAAACCAAGTTCTGCAACATCCAGCTGGATCAGCAAGGATTTGCTTGTGCTAGTCTTTGTCAGAGGATGACGTAGATAAGTCAGATGCAGATATAAATAACATGACAGAGGCTTCTGTAGAAACCTTCTCCGTCTGCTCTTTGCTCTGACCCACCTCTTGGCTGCTTCTCTTAGAAAAGGTATTACTTCACTCCTAACGTAAGCAGAGCACCTTGCTTTCTTGTAAAATGCTGTTAATGATGCAACCATTTTGTCTGATATATTAAGATACTCAAGCAAGATATGATACACCTGGGTCCTGCTCATTCTTTTTGAGTGGTTGGAAGTTATCCTGACTTCTTCACAGGGGATCATGACCAGAAGTACTCTGTTAAAGGACTTGTGTAATGTGACAAGAATTTAAGATTCACAGGGCCTGTGCAAATAAATACTCTAACTGACCTTTAGGGTCCTGTCCTAGCAGATCTGGGACATGATCTGGATCTCTGGCAGAGTAAAGCACAATCCCTAGTTTCCTCTCAGATTGCTCTTGTTATAAAATAAGGCTCACATAAATATTGATAGTATCTGCTCTCTATAAAGACAAAATAAGAAAGTTAATATATAATATAAAGACAGGAACTGTCTTCTCTCTTTTAGACCCGTTTTTCAAGAGTTAGATTAACAGGAAGTTTTTTTATAAGATGAAGATCTTATAGATATATGTCAGCACAAGTACCAAAGTGGATTTGAGAAGGTATGGATGGGAAAATATGTGGATTCCAGCTGAATTTAGGGGTCAACTAGGTGCTGATAACTTGGCATTGACAAGACTACTGGGACAGGGAAGAAGCATAACTTTAGGCATGAAAAGAACCTAAATGATAAAACTCTCAGTACTCACGAATGAAAATATCTCTGGCTTTAAGCAGCAATTTCAATGCAAATTTGAAGATTCTGTTTTTGACCGTAAATATAAGTATTCTGCTTTCTTCCTTCTGTGGTTCTAATCTTTTTATAAAAATTGGCCTGTTCTAGGTTTGGAGGTATACAGCACATATGGATAAGTGACTCTAAAAAGTAGTTATGAGTAGTGAAAATAATAAAGTCCACCTTTTTTTGAATTTGGATTTTCTGCTGTTCGATAAGGTGTTCAATGAGGAAGTTTCCCCTTGTGCTTTTTCTAACCAATGGGTCATTCATAACATCATTTTCAATGTGGATTCTTTGATATCTATGAGGAGCTGACCTCATGTTTCACCCTTTTCCTCAATAAAGGCAATAATAGAACCTCTCTCCTCTTTTCCTCTCAACTGTCTGTTTAAAAGAAAAAACATATAGGATCTTAATGTTCTGAGACCTGAAGTGCTCCGTTAAATTTGATTGAAACTGGCTGATGGTTCAAAAGCTATTGGAAAAGGATGGATAAATATGCCTTCACACATACCATCAGTGTTCTGCTAGTAAAGTGCAGAAGTTAGTCCCTAGGAAACCAAAGCAAAAATCCCTTCTGAGCATATTCAGAAGCATGTGCTATATCTCAGAACCATTTTAATTTAAAAATGTCCTGTGTAAAGACTATGTTCCATATAGTTCTCTAAAAATCCATGATTTAAAATCAAAAAGGGAGAAACAAATTCCAGAGAAAAAGAAAAGAAACACAATTTTAGTACAATCCTGATAATACAAGCGACAGCCTGTATTATATATAATATACATAAAAATACAATCAGCTCAGCCTGTACCACTGTAGTACAAAGTTAGATTCCTGCTTTCAGCACAAGTTACCATTATTATGGAAAAATAGTTTAATCCCTTCAAATTCATATCAGTAGAGATGTATTTATTCATAAACCAACAGGCTGTGTGAAAGGAGTGGCATTGCTTTGCAATCTCCTGTCCAGGAATTTTGAAATCATGGAAGAACCTGCAGCTCTTTGTCATTGCTCTAGATTGTCAGTCCAGCATGAGATACTTGCGCTCCACTGCACCATGACAAAATGCTAGTGTGAGCAGTACCTAGTGTGCAATTTTAATCCATGTTACAAACTCTGGCCTGAAAATGAATATTTCACTAGTACATATGACTTTTAAAGTCTGAGATTAGAAAATTAAATACAGAAGAGAAGTTCACACATGCTGGTATGTGCCATGCTAAAGTGAAAATTGAAATGCATTAGATTGTCTATAATGCTTTTTGTCACTTGAGATGTCAAAAGCATACCAAAAAAAAGAAAAACCCCAAACAAACCCTGTCTGATCTCTTTATGAATTTGTCTGAGAAGAAGGTTATATTTGTCTGAAAATTGAATGATATCCCTTTGTCATCGTGTAGTTCAGAATAAATTTATAGAAACCATCAAGATTATCCTGGATTTACTGTGCTTTAATAAAGAGGAGATTTTAATCCAGTGCTGGTGTGACTGACAGTTCTAGCTTACATAGGAAGAGTGAGAAGCCTCCTCAGGATCCTCCATGCTAGGATCAATCAGTAACTACCCAGCTGATTCCCTGGATGTTTTTCCTTCGCCTTTCCAGGAGATTTTGTGTGGGAGGGCTGGGGAGGCAAGCACTGCTGTCAGTAGGGGAGTGTTGATTTTTGCATTCCTGAAAGTTGCTGCTGTGCTAAATGAAGATAATTGGCAGGGATCGATTAGCTTTATAGGAGGGTGTTATTAAGGGTTGAGCTCTTTTCACAAATTGCCCCTTCTGCATTTACTGCTTGTGAGGCATAATCTCAGCCACCCTGAGATTCACAGAACAGGAGATTGATTTCCTCCTTTTTCTTTTTCTTTCCCTGCCTTAAACTCTGCAGGTCAGTCCCACCCCAGGGTGCATCCGGGCGTTAATGAAGATGTTGTACTGCCCTTACTGCAGAGGACTTCCCACTGTGAAACCTTGCAACAACTATTGCCTCAATGTAATGAAAGGCTGCCTAGCAAATCAGGCTGATTTGGATACTGAGTGGAATCTGTTCATAGGTAAGAAGAGTTTCAATATTAGTGCAAGGAAACTCTGGTGATATCAAATTTCTGCAGGGTTCTGTGAGGTTAGAAGATGATGTTGGTCAATATTCAGAATGAAGCAACTGCAGATGCAGCTCACTTTCTAATTGAACTTCATGGCTTGCAGTAAGGAATGACTGCTCACCATGCCCTAAGCCAGACACGTTTCACATTTCATATTTCCAAAGGAATGGTGTGGTGTTACAGCTCCTGAGCTGAATTATTACATGCTATTTGAAATGTTGAGAAAGATTTGGTTGAGGATTTGATAACAAGCTTAACCTGGCAGAAATAGTATGTATTACAACTGAAAACCAGGCTCTTGCAAGCTGAGAAGATAATGACATTGTATAACATCCAGTCAACATAAATCACAACAGCTGCTGTTCTTAATTCTGGTAGTACATGGTCAAAAAGCTATAAAAGCTACATATATGAGAAACTACTAATTGCTCATTCTTGCTTAAAATATGCTAATGTCTCCCTTCCAGTGTACTGAACAGAATGTCCCAAACATGCAACCTCATGTTAGAATGGAGCATAGAATATATATTTAAGAAAAACTGCTCCCACAATTTATTCACATAATTCTTCTTTCAAATAGACAAAGAATTAGAAAGAATTGTCCCTTAAAGAGCCATTTATCTGTCCTGTAGCAAAACAAAAAAACCAACCAACAAAAAAAAGCCCAAACCCCACAACCAGAAAAAAACCTCCCAGAAGAATAACATATAACAAGAAATATTACTTTTAAGTTGCTTTTGGTGATAGAATAGGATGACAATTAGACAAGGCTGATGATAATATGGAAGGAATGGAACAGCTAGTTAGCCTGGACACTGATGAGTGTCATAGTCTAGACTGGATTTCGGAAAAATAAATGCAGCTGGAAAAAAATGTGATAACACTTTCTTTATTGCAGTCGAAGAAAGGAAATTTATTTTCTATTTTTGGAAAGATAAAACATAAGCAATCTCATTCTGCTTAATTTCAAACCCCACTGACCAATGTGACTTTGAAAATTTGACTCTGACTCATTCATGGATTTTTGCTTTACTCAGCAGTGCAAGATGGATAGGGAGAAGAAAACAGGATGAAAAATGAATCAGGGTATGAAAAGTGAAAACGAGCATTGAGCGTGCTATAAAAATAGCATGCAAACAACAATATTAAACAAATGATGCTGATCTGATACATTTGCCTTCCCAGTGTCTCATGCTGGCTAAAGGAGTTGACATCACAAACAGTACTGTATGGAGGGATACTTGTGGGATTACTGGAGTAAAAAAGATAATCTAAACATCATTTAGAAGCTAAGTAGAAGCTGATGAGAAAACAATTCTAACCTGTTAAGGACATTGCAAGCTACTTCCCTTGTCACTGAATGATAAGCAAGTGCTGACATGTCACTAATTCTGACTTTAAAAAATTAATAATTGGCTTAGGCTTTTGAGAAAAGAAACCCATAACATTTGAACTAAAATAGACAGCAGAGTTTTTATTAAGACAAGCACCAGTTTAAATCAAAAGCTGGAAGTTAAGGTTTGAGCTGTTAAGAGAAGATTTCCTTTTCTGGTGCTTTAAATTCAGTGAGAGTCTTGCGCATGGTGAGACCTGTTGGAAAGTGTGGAAATGCTTACAGATGCAGACTTTCAGAATCTTTGCTGCAAAGCCCTTGTCTGCATCAATGTCTCTTTGGTTTTGATTGTTCTTGCTCTCAGAAAATAAAAACTGCGTGAAAGCTTGTATGTTATGCTAAAACATAGTGCTAGTTTATTAAATACCATATCAGGCAGGCTACTATGCAATTATCCCTGCAGGTCAGTGATGACAAGGCAGGATACAGTATAAAAACATCAAATCATATTTCCTATTTCGTCTAACTAAACAACTTTCCCTCTGTAACTTTATGGGGAAGAAAATAGAGGAGATACAAAGATTTTCATGTGTTTGGAAAAGGTATTCTGCTTTATCCCATTTTTCAGGCCTCTGACAGCTTTGCTGAAGATGAGGGTCCTTCCTTTATGAAAGACTGAAATGAGGCAAATTGTCTCTGTCTCTGACAGCTGTCAGAGGCTTTCTAATAACACATGCAATTCCCTTAGTGGTAAACACAACAAAACTTCTACTCACTGAATTAAAACGAACAGCAGCATTTTACAGCACCGCTGAGCTATGAAAGATTGGAAATAACGCATGAGCAGTTTTTATCCCTGTTCCAATACTAGGAACCATGCACTAGTAAAAAAAAGATAATTTTGTGCATTAACAGTCCCTGCCTAGGCAGGAATCCCAAATGTTAGTGCATATTCATACACAACACAGTTTTGCTTAGCTCATAATCTGTGCACTGCAAAAGAGTTTTGCTTAGTTCATAATCTGTGCATTGCAAGGTTGTTTTGATAGAAGTTGGTACTAGGAGAAAACTCTTGGATATGTTTGCCAGTAACTAAGTAAATCCTGTCGTTTGGACTGCATGTCCTGATATTATTCTGTAGTTACAGCAATGGTCCAGCAACAGGCAAGATCTGCACGTAAGGAGGAGCAGAGGAAAGTAAATGAGCTGTTTGACAACAGGATGTGTTGCATGTTTCACCTAGTTTATAAATATAGAAGTCAGGACTGAAATCACATATATATAGCACTAATAAATCTTGCCTCTACTTTCAAAGCTAGGGAGAGTAGGACAACTTCCCCTAAACATCTGGTGCTTTCCAAGATTTTATAGACTGTGAAAATTGGTAGGAGGTGAAACAGCTGCAGCAGGATGAAACATGGCTTATTATACATTTCCTGGTTTGTCACCTTAAAGTCTGTGTCCTTTTTGTGTAACGTTTCATTAGAGGGTTTTTGTATTTTGTTGCCTATATTACTGCATGATAAAGTCCAAATGTTGCATATCTCATTCTAGCAGATCATCTGCAACTCAGAATTTTGCCTGAGAAAGGAAGACAGTGTTTAATATCATATTATAATTGTAACACTGTAATGAAAAAATGCACCTTCCAGGTATTTATATAAAATATTTAAGTGGTATTTAAAAGCAAACCTGCCACACTGACTTTAAAAATGTGTATTTTGCAAAGCTTGCTTCTGATGTTTTGCCTGTCAGTTACCCATCATAATCTCCTTTGCACCAGTCTCAAGTAAAGTTGGCAAATGCAAGATAAAAAGCGTGAGCAGAGGAACTGTACTGCTGAGGAAGGAGATTGCCTCAGGGAGGAGTTGACTGATTCTGTGGAGTGGGAAAAAGGGGATTTTCTCTCTCATGGCCCAACAGATATAGTCAAAATTATTCTTCTCTCTATGGAGCTATACCAATTAACAGCAATAAGAATCAGGCATCCCACTGTTCATTCTGTCACAGAAACAGATGAGATGGAAAAACTTATTCCCACTTACAAAAATTTAAAGCCCCTGTATCTTAGGGAATGGCATCCAATTTTAGCAATACTGTTATTCCTCTTTCTCTTACTAACCTGTATTTAAGTCCCTGTTCCTATCTTGAGATTCTTTGACTTTCCTTAACCTTAGCTTTCCCTATAATTGGTCATTTATTTCCCTTCAAGTGCTCTTTTTCTTGAGCAAAAATATCAGCTGAGGAATGAGCCCACATCAGTGGACACCACACTTTCTCTTGGTATCCTCATTCAGCTTCAGAATCAACAGCCGTAAAAAAATTATTTCTATGGAAGCAAGTGCATCTCATTCTGATGAGCTGCCTTAATTACAGGTTCAGGATGGTAAAGTGTCCATAATCGATTTGTTTTTTGGAGAATTTCTTTCACAATTAGACTTAGAGTTAAGTTTCTTCTGTCTTGAGACAAAAACATAGATGATACTAAATCTGAAAATCTAGCAAGATTGTGGGCCAATATGACAATCCTTATAGAAGCAATTCAGCACAACAGAAGAATAAAAATCCAGGTAATTGTTTTAACCATAGTAATTGCTGTATCTGAGCTTTTTTTGTGGGAATCCAAAGTAATTGATAAATGTTTTGTTGCTGTAGTTAAGTGATGCAGTGTAACGCCTGTGTAGCAGAGTATCAGATGCAATCCATGAAGGTTTGACACTGCATGGCTATTTTTATTTTTTTTCCCTACAAATTATTCAATGATAAATCAAACTCACCTCAACCATACTCCCATGTTTTATTAGGCAGGAGATTGTGGAAAACCCTTCAGAAGTTGTGCAGCAGCAGAGGCTGCCTCCCTGCCTGTGAAAAGGAGCCAAGAGTTTCTGTCCACAGCTACCCCTCTGCTTAGAGTGGGGAACAAGTGGCTTTGCTCTGAGTGTGTTCCATATTTGATAAGCTCTACTGTGCAGCAAGGCAGATCAGCATGCAGCGTGTTCATACTGCAGGATTCAAGGCCCTCCTACTGCCTCCATCCTGCCAGGCTTCACCAAAGGAGAAAATCATATCTGCAAGGCTTCAGCAAAAGATTCTCCTGACAGTGTTAAAATTATTTCTTTTGTTGTCATTACAATGGCTCTACATTACTAATTAACATTCATCTTGTTGTGCTTTAAGAATCCCTTTTTTCTTCCCATCAGTATGACTCAGACACTTACCTGAGGAGTTCTCCTGAGGAAGAGTATATCATGCAGTCTCACTTAGAGCAACTTGGTTATTTTCAGAAAAAGTATGCAACAAAACCTTAACTACTTACTCCTAGTGAAAGTTTTAGTGATGAAAATATGCAATCAACTTCATTTACTGCTTACAAAAGTCCTGGTGTCTCTGTGCTTTCTCTGTTCCATGTGCAAGGATAAACATTTTCTTTTAATGCTTCAAGAGGCTACCCTGATTTGAGGTTTCTAATGGCTTATTACAGGATTAACTGTCTTCAAGATTCACTTTGATTCAGAGAAAAATCAGTGTAATAGTAATCCTTTACTATTTTCTTGTGATTTTTATGAGGTCTCAAAGCAACCTTCTCTTGTCCAGGCTGAACAGCCCCAGCTTACTCAGC